GAGCTGCGCTGGCCCGGCATCACACACGGGCATGGAAGTGCTCTCGGAGACACTGCCCAGAGCAGAGCGGTGCAGAAGGTGACACGCAGGTAGATCAGCTCGCCAGCAAAGGTCCTTTCTTGGCACTGCCCTTGCACACCTCGGCAGGGTTTAGATTAGGCAGGTAGTCAGCGGTGGGCCTGATCCAGCAGGCAGCGGGAGTGGACAGACAGACAGAGCCCCCCGGGGCAATGCTGTGCCTGCAGCCCCCCATCCCATCCCTCCTGTCTCCCCAAACAGTGCTGAGGAGGTGGCCAGCTCCCCCCATGGCTGCCCCCCAGCTCAGTGTGTGCAGTGACCCGTGGATGTTTGACAGGGGCCCGGGAGGCGCTGGGGAGCAAGGCCAGCGGTGTTACAGGACGGGACGCGGGGAGGGGGCACCTCCCGGGGTCCCGCCCGTGTCCCTGACGGGCGACTGCCACCCTCTCCTCTCCGTCCCCGTCCCCGTCACCCGCTTTTGGCAAGGCCAGACGGCTTAAAACACTGCAGACGTCGTGCTGCCCTCATTTAATGGCAGTCAGGCTGGCTGCTCAGTTCAGGCTGGGCTCTCTGCCTGAGCGTTGTTGATATGATAGCTGGAGAAAAACATCACGTGAGAGCAGCCCGCGTGCCCTCCCGGACGGCTTAAAACACTGCAGACGTCGTGCTGCCCTCATTTAATGGCAGTCAGGCTGGCTGCTCAGTTCAGGCTGGGCTCTCTGCCTGAGCGTTGTTGATATGATAGCTGGAGAAAAACATCACGTGAGAGCAGCCCGCGTGCCCTCCCGCTCCGGACTTCCTGCTGGGCTGCAAAAAAGCTGACGGACCGAGCTCGCCCTCCTCCTCCTCGCTCTGCAGGGCGGGTTTGCGAGCAGGGTGTGCGCAAAGGCTGCTCACAGCGGGTCTGTCCCGCGGGGAGAGCCTGTCACGCTTGTCTGGAGGGACCGGAGATCTGCGGGGGGCCTCTGCCGAAGGAGCCTCAGGAGCATTTTTAGTAAGTTTTAGTCAGCAGGATTCTGGTAAAACCCTACCAATGTGCTGGTACGGCATTTTGGGATGCTGGCCATATGCTCGGCGTCTGCTTCTCTGAATTTACTCACTTCTAGTATTCATTTTTTTACGACGGAAAAACAGAGTAAAGCGTTCATAAAAGGTTCAGAGAGATGAAAATCTGCCTTAAACTCTGTTGACTGAAGTTCCCAAAATCTGGTGAGAAGTGAATTAAGAAGCGACTTGCTCGCAGTGTGGAGGAGATGAATGCAGTCCGTGTTCTTGATCGAGGTTTTTGACAGTGGTTTTCAGCCTGTGGTTTCCAACTCCTGGGTGCTCTGTGGTCCATTTCTGAACGTCCGTGGAGTATAAGTAGGACAAGAAACCCTGCTCCCAAACAGAGAAGTCTGCATTTCTTTTGGAAAATTTGCTAGGACCTGAAAATTCAAAAAGATTGAAAGGTAAACACGGCACCAGACTCCTAAACAACATGCAAACAAGAAAGATGTAAACTTTCTGATAGTAGTTAGTGGTAACTAAGCATAAGCAGAGTTTATCCTGGGCTGTGGTGTATTCTTGTAGTCTTTAACTCAGGGTGAATTGTCTGCCTTAAAGCCCAGCTGCTAAGCGAATAGAAATGATGGCCTTGATGGGGAAGCAACAGAGGAGGCTCCTTGTTTCCCAGGAGCCCGAGGACATTGCGTTAGGTCACTGGAATGGTTTCTTCTGGCCTTAAATCATTTGAGACCACAAAGTACATTAAGCAGTCACGATGTACAGCCCATGCTGACAGATTTTGGATCCTGTCTGGAGAGGTGTGGAGCAGCCTAAACCCCACAGCTGAAAAAAGGACATGGAGTTTAATCAGCATTTCAGAATCGGGTTTGGTAATTGGTCCTCTCCGATTCCAGCAACACATGTTGTAGTTTCATGTTACTCATTTAGCAGTGATTAAGTCTGATTTTTACACTGTGCTGACGTAAGATACATCTTCCAGGCAGCTAGTAAATGTGTCATTTTGCCCCGTGTTAGTTAGTGGTAGCTACAATTAACGTGAGTTTTAGTATCAGGGGGAAAATTGACATGAATTAAGCTGTTGCAAAGTGCTTGCCTTTTCCTACCGTTTCATACAACTGTGAAATGCTTTTGGGGGGTGTGCGGAAATTAGGTTGGTTTATTGGTGCAAAACTGCTCAAATGCTGGCCCGTGTTGTCAGGAAGGCGTTAAAGGAGAGAACTGAGGGTCGTTTTGTCCAAAAGCGTCCCCCCAGGCTGAAAGCGTGCTTTCCCCCAGCGAAGGCCTGCGGCGCGGCCCAGCCGGGTCGGAGATGTCCCGCTGGGTGGGAGATGTCCCGCTGGGTGGGAGACGTCCCGCACGACGTTTCGGCCGGTCCACCCCAGGCTGCGCCGGCCCCTGCAGGGGTCTGGCCCTGCTCCGGGCTGTCGGTGTGGGCTTCAGTCCCCGCGGACATGGACAGGCGCAGCCGCTCTCGCCTGCGGTGCTGGGGGTGTCGTGGGGAGCTCCCCGGGTGGAACAGCAGCCAGCAGGTAGATTTGCACGCGTGTCTGTGTGCGTGTACGCGTGTGTAACAGCATCGTGGCAGTGGATAGCGCAGTGGCCAAGCTTCACGCTCCATAAACGCTGGTTCCTGCCATCAGCTGTTTGTCTTGTCTCGTTACTGATCATTAGTGTTTGTCGCTGAAGTATCCTAATCCTTACTTGCGGTAGGAAACTCCGTTCCCCTGTACAGATGCTTTCTCAGGCCCCACACGTTTCTGTCCCCCATCTTACCTGCGGTACGGGTGCCGTGCTTGTAGGTTTCGGGCGCTGGCCGGCCCCGCTCTGGATTGCTGTCCCACGTTCGGAGCCGTGTCCTCGGGCAGGTTTTCTTGCAGGCGACCTCAGCGGTGCCTTCCGCGCGCCAGCTCTGCCCGGGGCAGCCCGCAGCGCCCCTCGGTCCGACGAGCAGGCGCCCCATCACGGGGATGTGTGAGGGCTCGGGGGAGGCCT